AAATAATCTGCCAACAGAACTAGAATTATTGACATTAAACAAACTTCTATATCTTGCTGAATAGTTACTAGTTACAAGTTAGTTTTGTCTTAATTCAAGTGTAATAAGATAGTCGCACTAGAAATTAGGAAAAAAAAGACTCCGTTGCAATTTGTGATTTTGCAGAGCGTAATGTGCAACACAAAGTATTTATCCAGGATTTTACTTTGAATTGAATCTGAACAGTAAAAGGGGCAACAAGCAACCAAAATTGCAGACTTAGGCTCGGTCATTTAATACACTTGGCAAAATAAAACAAGACTGAGCCATTTCCTGTTCTTATTACTGGAAACCAGTGTAGAATATGATTTGTTGTTTGTTTTTTTTACTCTGGTAAACCTGCAAGAGGCTTTTTTATGTTTTAAATCTACAATTATTTACAGATCCCTTGTTGACATAAATCTTCCTTATTTTATTGAAATATTCCGTGCTTACTTTATTGTTGAACAGATGGGGAAAAAATAATATAAAATTGTTTTGGTTATTACAATTAAAAGTAAAAATACAAAACATTCTCTGGCCCCCGTTGTACTTTCAACGTGACATCAACAAAAGTTTGGATCCCGCTGGTTTAAAGGGACAGTGAAGAAGAAGTGGAGGAATTGTACATGCTATAAGAAGACACGGTTGGTTGGAGACCGCCTGAATAACACCCAGGGTGGTGGGACCATGGAGATAATGGATTCAGACTGAGCCAGCTTCCCTCAGTTATTCTCAAAGCCACCGTGTCTTCTTGAGCAAGATGACAAGAGGAGATGAAGAAGAAGAAGAAGAAGAAGAAGAAGAAGAAGTAGGGCGGCTCAGGGGTAAACAGGAAGTTGTAACATCCCTGCCGGAGGCTCGCTCTACTCTTTGAAGGTCTCCACCTACGAGGCTGTGAGTCCTTTGGTCTGACTTGAACAGTGCTGGGATCAAACCTTGACCCCACACACAGCCTGGCTTCAAACTGGACCCGCTGTGTCACGGCGGCCTTGACATTATCACTTTGACCTCTCTAAGACAAACATGGAAGCCCATTAAAGGGGCAGCATTGTGTCACATAATGACATTTTATAGCACAATCAAGTGACTATGTTAACTTAGGTTGTTAAAAAAAATTCTATAACTTAAAAGAAGTTCAACTTTGAAATAGGGCCTCTGTCACTTTAAAAACTCCTGCCTTCAGGAAGTCATCACAACGTGGCTCCTCTATTTAGCCTGTAACAATGTTTTTACCATCATCAGTGTATAAAGTCAATTTTAGCAGTTTGCTGATCTGGAGCAATGAGGTGGACAGCGAATATGGATACAAGTAAATATGGTTGTAAACACTTCAAAATTGGGGGTAAATATTATATTTTTTTCATGCTGTTCATTTAGATTCCTATTTCTCTATATTTAAACTTAGGTTGCACCAATATGAACGTTTGGACTGATATCAATATACAACATGCTGTTGCTCTGGCCAGTAACTGACATGAATTACAGATATTATATATGTTTCGCTGCCATTCGACACCTTGAAGTAGACAAACACACCGCTGACTTCCACATGGCTTCGCTGCTTCAGTTAAACTACCCACAATCCTTCACTCCATCGACGTCCTTATCACATGACCAACCTCCTCTGCTTCCCTTTCAAAAACCAAAGGCAACAAAATGGGGAATAAATGTTGGTTATTAATGTCAGCCCAGCTTTATTTATCAGACCAATACCGGACCAATACAAACATGATCATTAATGACTAATATCCTTGTCCTTGATACCGATGTTAGTGCCCATACATCATCCATCCCTAATGTAAACTATCTGTGCTTTATGGACGGCCATGATGGAGGATCAAGCACCTCAGCATTTGCAGACAAAAACAAAACATCTGTTCATAATGTCTCAGCTGTTTTCTCTTTCCTAAACTTCTACAGGTGTCCCAGCCCCTGCCTTTACTCAAACCACATTATTTGTCTGCGGTAAGCACACACATCAGGAAAAAAGGAACACACGACACTGAATGCTGCATTTCAAAAGCCGACATTGTCAGACTGCTTCCTGTTTTAACAGATAGCAACTGTAGGAACATCACCAAGCAAAAGTAATCATCTTCACCTTTGTCAGATTTTGACACTAACACTTCGATGCATTTTATAGGGGTTAAATCACACAAAGCAACACTTACATAATGTGATGTTGAAACAGAATAATGAATGGTTTTCTGTTTTATGTTTACAAATAAAAATGTAAAATGTTGGCATGAATAGCCACTATGAATAAAATGTTTGCAATTACAGCTGCATCGAGCATATTGCTACCAGGTTGGTACATAAATGCTCATTTATAATTATGAACTAACACAGATTATGAACTAATTGTAGGTCTGTACTTTCACCATATTAGCATGTGAAACCAATTTTTTCCTACGCTGCCTGTGTAGAGTCTAGAACCTTCAGCTCAGTCTCATGCAGTAAAAGGTTTTTCCTCCACCAAAGCTGTTTTTTGAGCTCTGTGCATCTTCCTCTAACCTTGACCCTCAGTAAAGAAATAAGTAATAGGACCCACAGCATGATGCTGCCACCTGCCTGTTTCTCAATGTGTTCAGTGTGCAGTATTAGTTGTCCACCACATGCAGCATTTTGTGCGTAAGCCACAAGGTTGCATGTTGGGCAGACCAGCCTGTTGTGTTCTCTACTTGGCTTGTGGCAATCTGCAGACAGGACTTCCTACCGCTTTCTGTTAGCAATAGGGTTGTTTGTTTGGTTTTTCTTTTTTTAATCTTTCCTCTCGTATAATGCACAAGGCAACTTTGTGGCTTGCTCAGCTAGTAGTTTTCCTTTCAACAAATTATCCTAATATTCCCTCCTCTATTCAGTAAGTATTCTTATTTAGATATATCAGCATGAATATAAGAGAAAGACACACAAAATTTGTTTGATAAAGGGGTTTTAATACTTTTGAACGACACCAGAGGATAAGAACAATCATTTAAATCTTGGGTATGTAACTTACAAATAATGTGTGAAAAAAACTGAGCTCCTCTAGCTTGGTCAGAAACAACCAATCAGACAGGAGGAGGGTGTTAGTGCTGTCAATCGGCCTCATGTACAGGCTGCTCACCCTCTCCCTCTTTCTCTGTGCTACGCTACAGCGAGTTCCTAAAACAGAGCTTGTCATGAATTCTAAGGCCAGTCAGCATGGCCACTGAGGATGATGAATAAATGGTTTCCTGTAACATTAAGTTGTTTCTCTGCCATTAGCATATTTAGCAGCGCGTACATGAATGAAATATGCATAATTTAATCAAAAACAACCAATTAGAGCAAGAAGGAGGGTCTTAGCTCTGTCAATCACTGCTATGCTCATCCCGTCTGGCTTGATCTGTGCTAAGCTACAACTGGTACAACACTACATAGCCTGTCACCAAAGCTAAGGCTAGTTAGCATGACCACTGATGACAGCATATAACTGTTTTCCATTAACAGTAAGCTGTAACATTAGCACATTTAGCAGCAGGTGCTCTAGGTTGATTGATTGATTGATTGATTGATTGATTAGCTCTGATCGGTGCATTTCTTCAGACGATAACAGTAGCATTGGGAGGAGGAGGAGTTCGATTTTGTCTCAGATTATCTTGAACTATGCCATCATGATATGACAGTTTCTACGTAAAAAAACAACAACTTTTTTATTATTATTATAAACGTCACACAGTCTACCTGCAAGTGGATGTTGCAAAATGTCAAAACATTCACTGAACAGTTCCTGCAATGCTGAATGAAATCATCAGGAAATCCTGTGTCAGGTTTGCAACATTCACTCCCAAAGGTCTGAACTTGACCTCTCAGATTCTCATGAAAGGACATTATGTAGCATGATTGTACAAATACGTTCAGACACACACACACCTACACACACACACACACACACACACACACACACACACAGGTTTTCATTTCTATCCGTATAAGGAAACGGTATAGACTTCCATTCATTTGTGCAACACCTAGCCTTGCCACATACCCGAAACTCAACCTGTCATCCCAAAAACAATATTCCACTGCATCAGTACCGGGCTGGATGAAAGCATCCTTTGAACCTGGGTACGGAAGTGATTGCTAAGAGGTCCTAAACAGGCAACATAAACAAGTGTAAGTACACACACACCACTCTAAGCTCATATATACAGGTAGGTAGAGCTACTTTTGCAGAAACTAAGCTCTTGCATCAGTTTCCTGCTGACAGCCTGCATCAGTGAACTTCTAAGTCAACAAATCAGTCACCCGTCACGGTCTGATGGAAACAAGTTGACGGTCATGAGCATTTAAGAACTGTATCCCTCAATAAAGTGAAAGAGTTAAGACCACGACACAGTTGGCAGTGGAAGTGACTTTAGAAGTAGATAAAGTGAACACGAATGAGAGCAGCTACTTCCTTCCACTGTGCCTCCTCCAGTTGGGGCTGATTGTAAAACCCGATTAGAGCGAAGGCAGAAACGCCGCCGCTTCAGGACCTCCGCTTGTGTGGATGTTGCAACCGCTGTGTCGTGAGAGGAACTAAGGCAAGCTACCTCACCGAGTTCTCCCTGTGCAAACACAGCTCAGTGTGGTATCAGTGACTCTGACATACTCTGCATAGACAGTTCTGCAAAAACACACAAACGTGGAAATGGTGAACCACTTGCAAAACACTTTAAATAGTCCTACGCGTCCAAAACAGAGAATGGTAGAAAATGAATAACAGTGATTTGCGTTGCAGGTGAGGTTCTAAAAGTAAATCTGGTTATCATCGGCGTAGACGGCTCAACCACGGAAGAAACCCACATTGAGAACGCTGGAGGCACAATCCGGCGGTCTTTTTTTTTATGTCTACGTCTCTCTCTCTCACACACACACACACACACGTCATACTTGTGTGTCAAATCCCAAAAGCTTAAAGACAACAGAGAAGCAAATAATGAAGGACCTTCCATTGTTTTTTTCTCTGTTTCTAGACGACAAACTGCTCAAACTACCCATAGTGTGTGTGAAGCATGCAGAGAGGAAGCCTCGCATTCCGTCTGACAGCCGGCGACACCACCCAGCCTTACCTATCCGAGCCGTCTCAGTCTTGAAGGTGCTGAAGTCCCAGTTCCGAGGTAGTTTCAGAGACATTCTCCAACGGCACAGGTAAGGTGCTTAAGTTCCCACATGCACCTTTTTGCTAAAACACGCACACATACACACGCCACACACACACTCTTTCGCACGCACACATTAAAGCACGCAAACTGATGATAATGCAGATCACACTTCCTGTTTCCTGTGTGTTAATTGCTCTGTTTTTTTTTCTTTTCCTCCAGGTAGCAGCTTGTAACTCATCTCTTCATGTCGCCTGCGTTTCCATGTTAGTGCCCGTCTTCATGAAGCTGACCAAGTGGCTGGGAGGGGGGGAAGTGGATTTGCTGTGCAGAGTCTTCAAGTGACTAATGTTCACCGGTGTCAAGAGAAGAAAAGAAGAAGAAACCACCACCAGCGTCTTCTTAAAGGAAATGGTTTTATGCCTCTTGTTATGACTGGCTCAGAGAGCATGTTGCCTCACCACTTGGGCTGCAGGGGCACAAATCCATCCAGCTACTATATCTGCATACCCACTTCTCTAAAAGGTGGAAGCCTACGCCGCCACCGACAGAAAGGTCTCCATCATCAAACAAAATGAGAACTTTTTATAGAGGCTGGTGAGGAAATCGACCAAATAAGTTTCAAAATGGGGAAGATGACCACAAAAAAAAGAGAAGTGAGAGTACGCCTTCATGTCTTTAAATACATTTATTTTTTTTCTCTGAACATAGCCAAAAACACATTTCAGCGTTAAAGAATACCTCTAGATATTGTACAGTTTACCAAACCATTGCACAGATAAAGAATAGATATACAGATTTTTTTTTTTTTTTTTTTTTTAAAAATTTAAAAGGAAATCTATGCGCATAATAAAGTAAAATGTTTCACATAGGAGAGCCTGCACAGCAAGATGGACAGACATGACTCCCTTACATTCCTCTGATAGACTCCTGGCAAAACACAGTGCACAACAGGTCAGTGGAGCCCTGAAGACGAACGAAAAGAAAAAGTTTATCTAGTAAACTAACATTTTCATAAAAGGGCAGCGGATTGATCTAAGCAGAAGTAACAAATTGCCAAATATCTCCATTTATGTACAGCCTTAAGGTCATAATCAACAGGCTGAGGACAGGAGCTCTGGCTCCCTCTGGTGGCAGGTAAGTGGAAGGGCAGTGCTGAGCTGCTGAACCAAAAATTAAAACTTTGTAAAAATGTAACTATTGTGGCAGCTTCTGTTGTGATACTGTTGAGAGTAGGAGGAAAAACTATGTAAATCATAAGCAACGAGCACCCGAGCTGAGGCACGACACCGAACAGGACAGGAGCCTAGCAACAGCAACCACGGCAACAGCGAAGAAACTCTTCAGCTACTTTTACACTCGTTTTTTTCGCACATGGCGATAATGATTTTTTTTTTTTGCCTGACGACAAAAACTACTAAAAGAACACCAACATATATTTTAAAATTACAGCAGAGTTAGAGAGTTAATAAATAAATAACTTGAGAAAGATGACGTCTCGAATGACATCAATAAATAATCAAATTCAATTCAAACACCGGGGAAAAGTGATGTCTGGGTGACATACTTGGAAAAAACTAGAAGATGGTATATAAAATAAACATAAACACCTGGAACACGTTTAAATGACACTATTTACCGCCCTTTTCCTTTCCTGCTACTACACCAAATGCAGTTTATGTATTGTTACAAATATTGGTTTTATTCCATCGTACTAACAGAAGTCATCTAGTTTTAGTTAGAAAGACTAAATGGTCCTTTGAACAAAGTTGTTATCTAAAACACCGTCAGTGTAAAAGAATTTACTTAGATTGCTAATCAGATTTTATTTTAACTATAGAAACACATAATCTTACAAGATGTTAGTTTGAATTCTGTGATAAATTATTTCCAATAATAATTAATGTCTTTAGAGAAGGATGGAAAAAACAAACTGTGAAAACTACATTTCCTCTATTGAGTAATCTTTTAGTTCACGTTCTAAAAGATATTTCGGCAAAAAAAAAAAAAAAAATAGGCCAACAGTAACAGGAATACTTTGGTATACTCTAGTGGAGCTGCACAATATATCGAATCACGTTAGTCGTGTAATTTCACAATCACAAAATATATTTGATACGATATTACATTTCTGTTACCAGGCATTGATGCTTCACCATGGGAAAAAAGAAAATGCTTTGCTGCCCTTGATTCCCACACCTGGTACAGACTTTAGTCACAGCAATTCAAATGGATCTGAGACATTTCAATGTTTGAAAGGAAACCACAGTAAATGTGAGTTTCGATGCTACAATCCTGTACAATAATACTTGGATTGCATGTTTTTGTAACGTCATGCTGCCTTAGATTCCTAATAGAAAAAACAAAACAAAAAAACAGGGAGGCTACAAATTAGCATTTGGCAGATAATGGAGGGACATATTTAAAAAACGGCAAATATCATCTTAACATGTCTAATGTTTTATACTCATAGAAGTTTGGCAAAATTCTGATGCCAAATGATAAAAAAAAAAAAAAAAAAAAAAAACCGTTTAGAAATCGCTCCACCAAAAAAAAAAAAAAAAAAAAAGAAGTAATCAGCTTAGGAATGTCGCTACCAGAATAAAGCAAAAGAAAAAAAAAAAAGAGATAATTAAGCCGATACTTCAAAACTGGTTGCACAAGGTGCTTGTATAAAATGTAGAAGAGTGAAATACTTAAAACACCTACAGGTAAACCCAAAGGACGATCAGCATTGTGTATGCTGTTGAATCAATTACGACAGGAAATATCTCTGTGTGCGAGTCTACAAATGTTTCTACTCTCCAAAAATTGGATCCTAGATAAACGAATAAAAATAATCAAGGTGGAACATAAATAAAAGAGCTAAATTAATACAGATGTTTTAAATTCCAGACCGCACAAGAAAGCCAATAAATCTGTCGGCTGTGGCAAATAACGGCCTGAGCAGCTGTGGATCGGGCCCAACTCAGTACAGATGTGTCATAGGCATTTCCAAAATTCTGAGCTCAGGTTAGAACAAATTATATCTAGGAAGGCATAAATAAATCATGTGGAATATCTGCATTAGCTAAAGAAAAAAACCATATCTGTGAACACGTGTTGCTTTTTCTGTAGGGCATGCTAACCTAAACACCTGCTGGCGTGCCTATTAAAGTGTCCAGACATGCTACCTCTAAAGAAACCAAACGCCACAGGAGCTTATGCTTTACTATCAAATCACACTTGGCATAAATAACACATAAAATGACTGATAAACCTAGAGGAATGAACACATACAGTATTGGCAAGGTGCAACGTTAGCGGATGTGCCTTAGCCCAACATGCTAACATCCTTACTGAGGTTCAGTGTATGAACTTTGTGAGCAGAGTGTCTCTGCTGTGACGCTGCCGAACGACACACAGGATCAGAAATGGCAGTGCAGGAATCATTGTGCCCCCAAATATTTTACTATTCCAACCGCCTTAGCATCCAAGAGGTGAAATAAAAAATAACCTTCAAACAGGAAGTTGGCTGCACTAAAAAAAAACAAAAAAACTTTAACCCTTCCATGGTATGAAGAGGTGTTATTTTTACCCCATGAGCTTTTTACCCAGCGCGCAGTCCGGTACGGTGCCCCACGTGCGCTTTCACGAGGTTTGCTTGCTTGTGTGTCTGTTTTTCAGGAAATGACCATCTTCCCTGCTGTCCGACCGTGACATCTGCCATGTCCTCCTGAGCGTCGCGCTAAGACCGCGGGAGAGTTAAAAAAAACTAATGAAAGCTAGCAAAGAGGTGAGAGTGAGGTCACTAGCCTACAGAGAGAGTTTTTTAGAAAGCACAGTTGCTTTAGGAATCTATGTGACTGAAAGGTTTGGTTGGAATTCAGACGTCTACATGATGATGTGATGATAATGATTTGGCCAAGCGTGAAAGGCTTGGAAATGACTGAACTGAAACAAAACAACATAACAAAGACACAAAAATGCACACAACTGCCTGAATAAAACAGACATTAAGACACAATAGAACATCTGAAATATAAAAACCGTCTCTGTATAAATAGTAACAATCAAAAGAAAATGTAGCTAGACATTGGTGTGAGGGTGACGCTGCAGTAACTACAGTGTGTTAACAGGGTTTAGAGCACTGCTTTAGATAAAAAAAAAACAGAAAGACGTCATACAATAAAATATTAACACACGTGAGCCGATAAAATTGAGGAATATTGTGTAAACAGGCAGAAATGTACGTCTGACCAACAGTGTTGATTAAAAAAACAAAAAAAACAAAAACTAAATATAATCGGCTACACAGATAATGAGGGGCTGGACTTTAACCGAAGCTGAAAACACTGTGTGATCCACAGAGCAGACAAGCACAGAAACACAACGCTCCAACCCAAAATAAAATGGAATGGCCCAAAGCTGAATGTTTTTTTTTCCCCTTTTTTTTGGTTTTCATTGATGTGTCCTCGCTCACAAATAAACACGGGTTCTCTGAGGGCGCCGCCGGGCTAGGCGGCCGCCTCGGCGGCTCGCAGCAGACCCTTCTCTGTCAGATGAGCCTTCAGGGAGTTGAAGATGTAGAGCTGCTGGTCGGACCGCAGGGCCAGGAGCTGTTGGACCACCTTACTGGGGTTGGGGCCCCTGAGAGGAAACAAAACAGGAGTCAAATGTAAATATTCTGAAGAAGAAAAAAAAAATAGAGGTGAGGGGCCTTTTCCTTACTGCAAAATGTCAAATATGAAGCAAAGATGAATGTGTGATGTTGAAATCAGACCGTTTTGACATTGACGGGCCTCTGATCTACAAAGCCGTATTACTGTCATTGTAGATGGAAATTTAATCCTTTTCTTCCCCCAAAAATTTGGAGATTAATCTAAGAAATTTTGCAGAAAAAAATCTGAAATTTCCTTGTTTTTCCAAGGAAATTTCTGAGATTAATCTCAAAATTTCTCAAAGTTTTTCTAGCAAATTCTCGACTTTTCAAATTCAGACATTTACTTGTTTTCAGATCGACTGAATGAGCAATGTTAACGCGCCAACATAAGCTGCTTGTCCAGTGTTCATATTTCAAAAACAGAAAAGCATAAATGTAACTTTCATCCCACAACGGACTCTGTTCGGTCCACTTCTCTCTGCCCTTTTGATTCAGCACCGCCATCTTTGTTTCTGGCTCCGCTTCACGATGGCCAGTGGTGCCCTCTAAACAAAGGACTTGCAGCTAATTTGACTCTAATAAACCATTAAAAGATAATTAAGTGTACGTCAGTTAATTCAAGTAGATGCATCTGACTAAGCCTTAGGATGCTGCTGCTGCTGCTTTCTAGTTAGTTTTGCCACATATAAAGAGAATCAACGTGAGTTCAGACAGAAAAAAGGCACATCGCTAATAAACATTGTTCATTAAAACAAACAAGTAAAATAAATGAATCACTCTTGTGGGGAAATCCAAGATAAAATTCAACATTAAACAAAAAAAAAAAATCTGTGTCTGAATGTGACAGATTAAACTTTCACTGTGTTTTAGAGTTCACATGTGAGTTTACCTGATGAAGCTGGCAATGTAGACATTGACGAATGTGGCCATTATGTACTGGCAGTCAAATCTGTCCATAATGCCTCCGTGACCCGGTATGGTGTTGGCAAAGTCCTGAAAGGAGAGAAGACGAGCTTTCAACGTGTGCTGAAGTTCAAACATGACGCAGATACACAGCTGCAAACAAGTGGTGAGTGAAAGTGGTTCATTCAGATGGTGAGAGCCTCCTGAGGACGTTCTACCTTGATCTTAAATGCTCTCTTGAAGCCGCTGGCGAAGAAGCCACCGAAGGGCCCCACAATGGAGGCGAAGGAGGAGAGAGCGATGCTGTGGATCTGGAACGGATACAGACGCACGGTGGTCTGTGGACACAAGAGGACAAGGTTGGAGGCAGACAGCCACAGCCAATCGGGAGCTGGTTTACAGAACCCAACATCTGTTTAACATGGAGGGTCAAAGGTTGTCCTCCATTTCCTAGGACCTGTTTGTTCTTAATCTTGGCTTTAGCAGTTTAACTATGTCCCGTGCGACCTCTGTGGGCTGGTGTGGACAGGTTATGGCTGTATTACAGTTATGAAATGCGTTATGGATCTGAAACAGTCCCACATCACTTTAAATATCACTGCTGTGGCCGTTTCCTCTGAGAGCCCCCACGCTGTTTACTTACATCAGCAAAAACTGATACAATTAAAATCAACAGACTCAAAACATAGAGCCACAAGAGGAATTGATTTTTTTCACTTCAACACCGACGAAAATGGCAATTTTATCTCTCATAATAATAAAAAAAACAACAAGAAATGACAAACAGGTGTGACGTTGTGGCTCACGCAGGCTGCATGCGTCCTGACGACAAACTGGATATTCTCTTCAATGCCCTGTAACTGTCTCTGTATTTGGGTGGTGGTGTCATTTATTACAGTAGTTATTCTCTTCCTTGTTATCTGTACAGTAGAAGGCCATCATGTTCCATGTTTACCTCTGGGCTACGGTTTCCCCTCTTCCGTCTTGTTCACACTGTAAAACCTTTATGCTTATTTTTGTCCTGATTTCCCAGATTGTCAGCGCTTCCTTCCCAGTCGGCCATGCTTGTTTACTTTGAACTCATGTTTGATCTCGAGAGGTTTTGCCAGATTTCCCACCTGACATCTGAATGTTGGTGAGTGAAATCGGCTGTACGACCAAAACCTGCTGCACCTGCGATTTTTTTATTTTAATTTTTTTAATCACCATGTCTGGTGGAATCTCTTTGTAAATCTTGCCATGTGAAGCAGGCATTAGCTGGCTTACGAACGTTTCCTGGCTATTTTTGTAAGACTGTCGTTCCATTAGGGATACGGTCATCATACCCATCCGGTGACAGACTCCAGGACTCCTGGCAGGGTGTATTCCTGCAGCTGAAACAGCTCTGATGGCTCACAGTCCACCTGGAAACGGTTGGAGTCGTTGTTGAACTCCACAGGACAAACAAAGTAGCGGTATCCAGCCATGACGTAGGAGAGCTGACAGGAGGAGGAGGAGGAAAACACTACCGTTACAGTACATGACTTTTACAAGACTTCAGAAGTCCTAGAAGACTTTAGTTTTAAATTAGAGATTAAAGGTTTGTCTCACCATGATACCAAACACAATAGTGGCGAATAATCCACCAATAAATCCCTCCCATGTCTTCTTAGGCGACAGCTGCAACAGACAAAATCAAACATTCATACGACGTCACGTCTGGCTCAGCATACTTCATGTAACTCAATTTGTTTTTGACTGAAACTGATCCAGTATGAGGCCTGACGATAAATTGTCCCAGAAGTTATCGCAATAAACGATAATATTGTCTTGAGACCATTTTCAAGTAATATAATGATAATGGTACAATAATGTATGTAGATAACCTCAAAGGTCAGCAAACTTTAATTTTTAACTAACAATTCACACTGGAACTTATAACTGCATGTTAGGGCCATGGAGTAAATTTCTGCCAAATATCTCACATTTTTGAGACTAATCAGGAAAAAGTTTTCCTTGCAAAAGTTGAAAATTTTCTAGAAAAAAAAAAAAACTAAAATTTTGGAACAATCTCAAAACTTTTCTAGAAATTTATAGAAAATTTTTGAGCTTCAAAAGTCAAACTTTTTTGACTGTTTAAAGTCAAACTTTCAGTTTTTATTCTTTGTACTCTGGTAGCCAAGCAACAACATTTTGTTGCCAAATTCACTCTCATATCTTTATGGAGTGACAATAACGTAAGTGTAAGTCTAAGATTAGTCTCAAAATCTGAGTTTTTTTGGTGCAATTTACTATATATATATTTTTTTTCATCTACAATGACCCCAATATGCCGTCATAGGAGCTGGAAGACATTTTAAATATCTAAACCAAATAACCAAAACAACCCAAACAACAAATGAAATGGACATTAAAGTCTCTTCCAACAAAACGTCCTTCAGAAAGTTGAGACCAAATCACCAAACTGAAGACTTTTGTCATGCAGTCTGAATGGAGACCCAAGGAAAAAAAAAACAAAAAACAATCATGCTAATGGAATATATTGAGCTCATTTTAATTTATCATTCGATTAATTGATTTATGGCGACAGGCCTCCCAGAAACATCTAATAGATGAACAAATTTAAATGTTTTCATGCTACCTTAATGAGCGGCGTTCGGCCGAAGAAGAAACCAAACATGTAGGCCATGATGTCGTTGCAGATCACACAGGAAATGGGAACGATGAACCTGTTAGGAGGAAAAAAAAACCCTGAGCTCTCTCATCTGAATCACCGCAGAGAAAAACAAGACGAGCCAATTCGGGTTTAACTCCACGAGTGGCATCGGTGCGGACGAGACGACTCACCAGATCATCCCCTCAAACAGGTTGTGGATGATGAGGTGGGACTGGGTCACTACGATCAGCAGAGTCACATGGGTCCAGCCAAACTGAGGACAGAACAAGAAGAGCTCTGAAAAAAACCCAAACCAAACTGCAGCGCACAGCTGGAAATGTATTCATTTTCCTCTTCAAAGCAACAGGTCAGAATTATACAAGCTTGAATTTACACAGAAATCTCTACTAATATTAGCTGAAGCTCAACTGCAGACGTTCTGAAACTGCAGAGCCGTTTTACTGTCAGTGACTGGTTTACTGCGACCTGGCTGTTCGCTTATTACACCACAAAAGAAGAAATTTAAGGCAGAGAAACTTTCTGATTAAAATAATGTTGCCATAGCAACACCAACACATGTGCAGTTGTTACTTTTCATCTCAGACCACAACTGATATTCTCTGGTTTTACATTTTAAATGTTGGGAATTTGGTAGTTTTAAGGAATTTGGAACACAATTGAACATAATTACAATTTTTATGTGTGAGTTCCTGCTCAGTTTGAAATCACGTTTATTTTTGTATTTACCACGTTAAAACTCAAAATTCACTTTCAAAGTCCTAATTGTGACTTCTTGTAATTATAACTTTAAAATCTACAATTCTGACTTTTGTTCTTGTAATTATGACCTTTGAACTCACATTTCTGAAAAATCCAAAACTAAAAATCCAACTTATTACCTTTTAGCGTAGAAATGATGACAAACTCAACTCTGACATTTATTCTCTTAATTATGACACTCGATTCTCCTAATTATGACTTTATAAGTCACAATTTTGACTTGTTCTAGTAACTATGACTCAACATGCTGTGAATTTGGACTTAAAGTAGAAACTATGACATGTAAAACTAAAAATCATTACCTTCATTCTCCGAATTATGATTTTATGAAACTCAAAAAGAATTATGATCAAGTCAAAACCATGACTTTTATTTCCGTATTTATCACTTTGAAACAGGAAATTATGACTTTTATTCTCACAATCAAGACTTCCTGTTGGGCTTTTATTTTTTCTTTCATGGAGGAAATAGACTTCCATATAAAATTGATGAAACCTTCATTTTCAATGCATTGTTGGCATCAGGACTTTATAAATGCAGGTGCAGCATGACAGATTATTCACACCAACATGACTCCATACAAATGTCTTACTAAATAACCAAGATGCAGAATTTGGTCATTGCTCTTGCTCTAACTAGGACTGAAATCATCATTAGGAAGATTTCCTGTCCCAGCTCGCCTCATCGATAACGCAGCCCATCGGGGGGGACGGCAGGAAGAGGCGGGGCCAACACTCACCATGTAGAACTGAAGGCGATAATGTTTCTTCACCAAGCTCAGCACGAACATGCAGAAACCTGCAGGAGCAGAACAACGATGAACACACGCAAAGGAGGAGACTAAATCGGTCACAAATGAGGTCATCTGAGGTCAAACTAAATTTAGCTTGACCCGTTTCAGGCGCCAACGTTAGGGGCCCTCGGCTTGTTGTTTCCGTGGCCGATGTGAGGAGAGGACGCTGAGAAGCAAAGACAGACAGGAAGTGCTCTGAAAATAGACTTAAGGAAATACGAATGGAGTTTGAGATTTAAAAGTTTAAAGGAAAACAGCACTGTGAAATAGTTTTCACATTCATAGGAAACTTCAGTTTCGTCTTCAACTTAGGTTGGAAAAAAAAAAAAAGTTTAGGTGTTTCCTTCCCACCTCCCCACATCCTGTTTGACGCCAGTCAGAAGCTGCAGCAGCGCTGAGTTACTAACTGACGCTGTGCAGCTCAGGAAGTGGGACTGAAGGTTTTGCTCAGTGCCAGAAACGACCGATCCAACTTTCACAGCCTCAGATTTTCACAGACGATGCAGGTCAAGGTTTAAAGAGAGAGAACTCAGCTGCAATTAAAACCGTGTCGAGGTGTGACTCTACCAGCTTTGCATATACAGACAGGGTGGAATGAGAATGTCCATTAACAGTTTTCAAAGTTCTGCAATAGGATCTAGACTTTGACTGGGCCATTCAAGCATATTACTACCACCTGGTCATATGCTAGGTTTGCTGCCTGAGGCTTTGAGGCCCCTCCTCTGTGGTTCTTACAAAAACAAATAGGAAATGTTTGTATAAAGGCAAAAGGCTTTACTGTTTCTTCTGTACGACCGATGGTACAAGGCCTTTATTTGTGGAAAGGGCTCACTCTGCTGGCCTCACTCTAGAAAGTAAAGGGTTTCCCCACTGATGTAAAAGTTGTTCTAAAGTCTTAAATTAAAAATATAAAATTTTTGTTGCATATTAGGGCTGCACAAAATTGGAAATGACAAAAAAAATGAAATTGCAATTTTTTTCATCCTGTCATGTCAAAAACTAACATGTTCCAATTATGCTCCTGTTCTTAGTGCCTGAAAAATATTACAAAATATTACGATGATGATATTCGTTGCACTATACGCCCGTTTTCTTTCTCGTCTCTTTAACATTTGCAGTAACACTGTTAGTCCACTAACATCTGCATGTTCATAACACTTACAGCTTCGTAGCCAAGAAATAATACGCTTCAAACACTGCTTTGTGATATTCATTTTCCACATATTTACATTGGAATCACAATATATTCACCATATATTGTGCAGCCTTGTTGTTGTGTTCAACGTGTGGCCTGAGGGCCGTTTGCAGCCCATGGATTGATTTTGTGAGGACAAAAATTAAATAGATTAGGTCAAAATTTTGATTTTAATTAAAATCTCCTTACAAAAAAATGTTAGAAGCAATAACCTTTTCCAAACATTCTGGTTTCTTCTATTGTCATGGTAACTAGGACCACATTTACTAATTGACTTTATGCTATAAAACACACTTTGGTGCAGCCAAATATGCTTTTAATTGCTGTAAAAAAGTTGACTGAATACAGCAAATATTTTCAAATAAAGACCGACCTAAATCCTGTTTTTATTGCTGAGAACAAATGAAATATTTTTTTCCAGTTTTCCTCAAATCAAGTCCAAAATAATAAGCAACCCGGATGAATTTTATTCCCGTTTCTGCTAAAACGCAATTAACTTTTTTTTTTTTTTTTTTTCCTTTTTTTTTCTAAAAAAGGAATAAAAAATG